CCCAGCCGGTCTCGGGGGACCCTGCGGGAGGCGCGTCCCGCAGGATGCGCCCGCCCTGAGTCGACGGGAATGATGGCGGCCATTTATGGAGACCTGGGTTCGGGCCCGACAGTCTGGGGTCTCAGATCCTTGCAGCCACCCGCCCAGGCTCACTGCGCCCATTTTGTAGAAGGAAAAATTGAGTCAGCATGGGGATTTCAGGTGACTTGTTCAAAGTTCCCTCATTTTTAAAAATGGCGAAGCATAATCTAACCTAGAGGCTTCTGTACAGAGCTTGGCGCACAGGAAACTCAAAACCAAACTCGCTGTCACCAAGTAGGTTTCCGAGACCTAACAGTCGCCGGGAGTAAAAAGCCCAAGTTTGTCTTTCTCCCGGCGGAGTAGCTGGTGGTTTTGAACTGCTGGCCTTGTGGATCGCAGCCCAACGCATAACCACTTCACCAGAAAATGTCGGTGCCACCTGGATATTTAAGCAAAGGGGAACAGGTTTAAGTATGGTGGTGATGTAGAAGCGTTAGTCCTTCACACCCAGAACATGAGTCCCTTCCAACCCACTCTTGATGTCTTCTAGTTTGGGGCTGCTACTTACAAGGTCAGTAGTTCGAAGCCACCAACCACTCCTAGGGAGCAAACGGAAGTTTTCTACTTCTGTATAGAGTTACAGTCCCAGAAACTCAGGGACAGTTCCAACCAGCCCCATAGTATCACCATGCGTCAGAATCAACTTGGGGGCAAAGGGTTTTTTGTTTTTGTCTTGGAACTCAAATCTTAAACAGGATTTACAGATAAGGATGATCCTCTGCCAGGAAATGTTTCTCGTGATCCCTTCCCCACCCTGCCTCCTGGGCTGCTGTTCCCCTAAGAGGAAGGGGCTTCTGACCCACTGAAACCATTTGATCGAGTTAATTTTGAAAGAACTAACAAGTTCTCTCATTGGGGAAAAACGTATCAAAGAGGAAAAGGAGTCGTACAACAGGACGGACGCCCAAGTACACATTCCCCAGCGCTGTAACAATCACCAAAGCCTTGCTGCCCGGCTATCTATCTCCACCACCACCTGACGTCCTGTAGTCAGTGCTGTATTGTTGGGGCATGGGACCTCCACGTGGTGGGCATTCAGGGGGCCAAAAAGTGTGTTGGCTGGTGAGATGGATAGGTGAGTGGGTGAATGAACAAAAGATTCTCCCATGGTGGGGATTTCAGTGATGGACACCCTATTGTGCAACTCAAAAGGCTTATCCTGGAGGGAGATGGAAGCTCACTGCCTCCTTGGGATTCCTAGGCAAGAGCTTCCAACCGGCCTTCACAAATGTTTTACTTTTATTTATTTTTGTTTTACTTATATATATTTTTCCCCAAGTTTGTTCATTCTTTTTTCCCCTACAATAGTTTTATTGGCACATAATTCACGTATCATACAACGCAACAGTTCAATCACATCAAGAGGAGTTATACAATCACCACACATCTGTCTTAGAGCACCCCCCTCCTGTGCGCACCCCCCTCCCCAACGACCATGGTCACAGTGCCTTCAAACTGAGCCAGTGCAATCACCATCAGTTCTAGTGCTCCCTCCCCTCTCTGGCCTTCAGTGTTCACTCCCTCCCCACCCCTGCACTCCCTACCACACCCTGTATCAGTGCTTATCATCATACATCCAGTCCTCCTGTGCTTCACAGCTGGGAGTCCCAACAGAAAACAATGAAAGATAAATCGCTCTAAGGTGGAAAGGATAAGAACATAGGATTAATTTAAAGGCAAAAACACAAATGATGCTTAAGAGAGAGAAGGCACCGCCCCTCCCCTTGGCCCCTCCCTCCTCCAGTCAAGGTTCAAAAAGCCAGGGAAGAAATTTCTTTCCTGGGACATCTTAAGAGATACTTGCACCCAGTACTAATTCTGGTCTGGTCGTGTCTATGGGGAGGACAACTGGCCCACATAATCAGAATGACAGTGGTCTCTCCCTGACCGGAAGGCTTTCCAGACTCTTGCCTTTGGCTAGAGCGGATCTGCCAGCAGTTCGGTCTGAAGATATTCTGCAGATGGGTTTGGGGCTCCCACTGCCCTCCATAGCCTTCTCCAAATTGGGTGCTCATAATGTCAGCTCTGAAACTCTTCACCATATTCAAATTTTGTAACTGTCGTCTTTGGATCACACAACCTGGTCTGCTTCTTCCATGTGGGCTTGGTTGGCTCCTCGCTTAGATGGCTGCGTGTTTGAATATAAGCCTTGAAGACTCCAGACATTCGTTCTTTCTTTTTAAAATCATTTTATTGGGGGCTCTTACAGCTCTTATCACAATCCATACATAGACCCATCGTGTCAAGCACATTTGTACATAGTTGCCATCAGCCATTCCAGAACATTTTCTACTTGAGCCCTTGATATCCGCTCCTCATCTTCCCCCTCCACCCACCCTCCTTCCCTAATGAAGCCTTGATAATTTATAAATGTTTTTTCCCCACGTTTTGTACTGACAGCTGTCTCCTTTCACCCACTTTTCTGTTGTCTGTCCTCCTGGGAGGGGGTTATATATAGATCATTGTGATTGGCTCCCCCAATCTCCCCCTATCTACCCCTCACCCACCTGGTATCACTAGTCTCCTTATTGGTCCTGAGGAGTTTATCCTGCATTCCCTGTGTTTTGAGCTCTTATCTATACCAGTATACATGCTCTGGTCTAGCCAGAATTGAGGTCATGATAGCGGTGGGGAGGAAGCATTAAAGAACTAGAGGAATGTGGTGTGTTTTATCGGGGCTATACTGCACCCTGACTGGCTCTTCTCTTCCTTGTGACCCTTCTGTAAGGGGATGTCCAATTGTCTACAGATGGGCTTTGGGTCTCCACTCCGAACTCCCCCTCATTCACATTGATAATGATTTCTTGGTTGTGGGTCTTTGTTGCCTGATAACGATTTCGATTGATAGCCGGGCACAACTTTCTTCAGCACACTTTGCTGCAGCACCCTCATCTCCAGTGATCATTTCATGAAAGTGTGTCTTGAGCAGGATATGAGGCATTTAAAACCTTACCTACCCATACGGATGTGTTTTTAATCAAAATGTGGCAGTAATGTGTCCCCAGTGTTTGGAAAGAAGAAATAGCTGCCTCCGCCTCCCTCTTCGTTCCCATTCTTAGCCTCCTGCTTCTTCTCACTGCTATTGAGTAAATGCTGATTCATAGCGACCCCCTGTGGATTTCCAAGACAGTAACTGTTTATGGGAGTAGAAAGTTCAGTCTTTCTCCCTCAGAGCTGCTGGTGGTTTTGAACTTTGGACCATGAGGATGGAGGCTCAGTGCTTAACCATTACACCGCCAGGGCACCATCGTATCCTCCCTAGTCTT